GGGAACTCCTATTACTATTCACTTTAGTGCTATAGGTTATATTGCAGAAATTATTTCCTTAATAAAATTTCCTTGATTTAAATTGATTAGATTTACTCATTTGTCAATAATTTTTCTTCTGAATCATCGCAATTCATTTTTTGGTTTGCGAATTTTGATTGTGAGTAGCTAGAGTTTTCCCTTTTTGGTCTGTAAATTTTAATTTTACAGGCGGTAGAGGGCTGACGAAGTGTTCTCTAATGGTAAGTCAGCAAAGCTAAGGCACATATTACAAAAATATAAGATTTCAAATTGGTAACAGATTCACTATATGAAGCAAACATGCACCAAAGAAACAAGAGTAGAAATCCCATTAACATAACATGCTTGATGACAACTTACAACACAAGAAATTACCATAAGAAATAGAACCAAGTTCATCCAGTTAAAAAAATGCATAAATAGAAAAAAATGGTTAAGATTATTGTCAATGAAATCAAAGACTTCTGGCGGTGGCTGAGTCCCGTTTTCTTTTGCTTTGCTGTTTCGACAAGAGCAGTAGTTGCCTTTGCTTGAGAAAAGATCTTACAAACAATAGTAGAGCTTTAAAATATGTTGAGAAATCTGGAGCCAACAAGAGATCAAAGGAAGTGATCCAATAGGAATTGAATACGTAGTACTAACATGGTTTGCAAGATGTTGAGAAATTTCAATATACCAAAAAAACAAAAATAAATGAATAAAGAAATATAAATGTTCCAAACACAAGCATTAGCCACGATTTAGTTAGTTTACTTGGAGGCTCAATTTCGGTGAGCGATCCATACCCCAAACCCAAAATCCAATTCCTATATAAAGAGGAGTGCTAGGGGCACTCGCCTCTTGCACTCTCCGGCCAACACTTCCCCTTTCATTGGGCCACGTAGGCTTGTTTTAAGCTTTGGAGTGCAGCCTCTTTGCACTAGAATAACGTGGCCCAATAAAAGTGAAAGTGTTGGCCGGAGAGTGCAGAAGGCGAGTGCCCCTAGCACTCCTCTCTATATAAAACCACCCGAAAATAATAATCAAGTCAAAATATGGATACTAACATGGTTGGAGTTTACGAGATACGGGCAGAACATGCAGAGCAGAGGGTGAAGGGTGGATGCATCAATTTTAGAGTGCGGTTGGGCGACAGTACTGAGTTAATATAGATGTAACGGTATTAAATTGTATTATATTATATTATAGTTATATTTAGAAATTATTTTAATATTTAGTTATTTATTTTATAAAAGTATTGTAAATTACATATATTAAAATTTATTAATTATTAACTAAAATTTTAAAGATATTATATGATATATAATTATTAAAGTAAACAACATTTACTATTTCAAAATGATTTAAGTTTTTTAGATTTTATATGGTGGGTGTTTCTTTAGGTTTTGTAGGGGGCAGCTCATGGGGAGAGAATAAATTTTTAATTTTTGATAGAATTTTTATATAAATGAAATGTTAAATTTAAATAGAATATTATAAATTATGATGTAATTGAATTAAATGAGATTGAATTTTAATGGGTAATTTTATAATTATATTAAATATTAAATATTAAGTGTTGTTCATAAAAATACAAGCAAAAAGTTCTTAAATAAGATTATTGATTTTATATAAAAAAATTAAAAAATTAAATTAGATTTACTAAAAATAAACAAATGAAGCATTTAGTTTAAAACTCTATCATCCATTGAATGATGTCTTTTTTAGTGTAAAGAGCTAACATATATCATAATTCATTAATTATTTTCATTTGCATTTTATCTATTTTTATTCTGATAATCTGATTTGAGGTGAAGAAGTGGATTGTAAAGAGAGATTGATATGCTAGTGATTTGTATCTATAAAGCTCGCTTGTATATTTTGTATTTTTTCTTATACCTCAAAGTGAACATAATAGAAGGAATTATATATTACCTGTAGATTTAGAGGAAGGAATTAAAGTAATTGGAAACTTATAATAACCAAACTGGGTAGGCC